ATTTAAGAGTTCAGGCTGTCCTCTGCTTTTCAATTTATTTTATGGAGCAGAGATGCTGATGGACATGTATGAAAGAATATAATAGGAGATGCCATTTTGCCTTGGAAACCCACATCTGGAAGTCTGCAATGTTTGTGTCTAGAATAAACATATATGAATTAAAACAATATAAAACTGTCAACAGATTTCTAACTAATGTGCTGACTTGTTCATTTAATGTAAAATTCATTTTGAAAAAAACCTCTTAAACAATGATTCATTGTATGTTTATTGAGAAGTGTTCCTTCAATCGATTCTACAAGATTAGTTTAGAATAATCCATTCTTCCACTTAAATGGAATAATTATGAAACATATGTGGGCCGATGTTAGAAAAGAATGAGATTTTGAACACAACATAGTAATTTTTGTATTGCTCTTTGCTGTGACTTTTTCCTAGGTTTTCAAATTTTCAGATGTATAGAAAATACTTTGCAACAAATGAAGCTTCTATACAATAGTATATAAAGTTTCACTAACATGGCTATGTCTCTTTGGATCATATCCTTAAAGACAATCCAGTGTTTTAAAAACACTTATACATTAAGAGGTTTATAAAATTGAATTAAACTCTTCTTATACAGAGTTACTGTCAAGTACAGTTAAATTCTACTGAGGGGGAAAAAGAACTGGAGAGGTAGAGGAAAAACACGATTTCCATCCTTGAATTTGCCATAATTAGCCATGAGACAGTGTTAGTCTCAGTTTCCTCTCTCTCTCCCAAAATGGGAATGCATGATATTTACTCTAAATATACAACCAAATTGCTAGGAGGATCAGATTAAATAATGTATATAAAGGTGTTTTTAAATTCTAAAGCTTTTTTATAAATGGTAGTTATTATTCTTAAATTATACCCACTGTGATCAATGTTACCTTAATGAGATGCACAAAAGTTAATTTAGTAACATCAATGGTCACTCTAAAGAATGAGCCCAGCTAGTTTAGGGTGGATGGTATTTGGAAAATTGTACAGCATTTTCAATTATCTTAAGGAGCTTATTGCTTCAGATATCTTTTATAACACAAATGCTCTCCAGAGGCCCTATGTTGGTGTGAATCAGGGAACATCTGATTCACATAAGCAAAATTTCAGATGACCTACTGGGTACTAGAACAATTCTCATTGTATGTAATTAGGTTGCAGCATATTAACAAAGGTGATTGGCACTCAAGAAGTGGAATAAAATACATCGCTATTGTCCTGAATGTCTGAAAAAAGAATGGGGCTAGTTATAAAGTTTGAGGGAAAGAGGGTAGATGAACAGTCCAATGGTGGCAAAAGTATCCAAAAATGGTAAAAAGAATCAGAGCAAGGTCTCTAGAATGTTTGGTGAATTATCTATACAGGATTCATGGAAAGATATAAATAAAAGAATCATATAAGATAAAAAGGCTAGAATAGAGTGTGGTCAGCACCTGTAGAGGGAATACCCAGTGGTGAAGAAATGAAAGATCCATTCAAGATGTGGTGTAACATTCTTCTCTGTTAACATTTTCCTGAATCCTGATGATTATCCAGTGAATTAGCTATTCTTACCAGCTTTGTGTTATTTGAAAATCTGATAAGATCGCCACCAACATCATTTACACTATACTTATATAAAATCATATAGATGTGTAAATATTAAAAAGAATATTAATTTTTTTTACTTCTCAAAAACTTAGTTGAATTAAAAAGAAGTTTATTTGCAATACATGTATAAAATGCACATGTATACATGTATATTTCTTTGGATTTTCATGCATATACACATATACTCATGTGTATACATGCATACACATACATACATATATGTACATGTATGTATTGTATATGTATCTATATCTATATCTATATCTATATCTATATCTACATCTATATCTATATCTATATGTATTACACCACAGGGCCAAGCATGGATTCTCAGGATATTCCACTGGAAACCTTCATCTAAGATCCAAGTTGACACTAAATCTTTAATGACTACATTTTGCAGCTAGCCATTCATTCAGTTCGGCATCCATTCATTATGCTATTATCTAGCTTTATTTTTTCTATTTTTCCTATAATAATAGCCTGAGAGGTCTTTTAAAATGCCTTGCTAATATCTAAGAAAACCATACCTATATAATTCCCCTAAAACATCAACTAGTGAGCTATATAGTTAGTCTCACATTACCTGCTCTTCCCTGAAGCTGGGTTGGCTCTTTGTAATTATCACTTCCTCTTCTGGATGTTCATTAATTTTTATTTAAAATATTTTACAATTTTTGTTGGGAATCAAAGATACACACAGATGCAAAGTTTTCAGATTGATCATCCCTTTGTTGATTGGAACAATATTTGCTTTTCTCAGACTCTGAAGTAACTCTCCCATTCTTAATGCTCCTTTAAAGCTAATTGCCATTGACTCAGTAATCACATCTAGCCACTTCAGTCATTCCCCAAGGCTCTTAACTTCATTTGGGTCAAATGACTTCGACTTATCAAAGGCATCTAAGTGCATTTTTACTATCTCCTTAATTGTCCCGAGCTTTACATCCTTAATAGCCTTATTTGTCCAGTCTTTTCCAGTCCTTTTTCATTGGTGAGAAAACAGAAGGGGGATGAAGGGATAGGTGGTTCCTTCCCTTTGTCACTGGTTATCATGGTGCCGTTCACCACAAACAGTTTTAGCCTTTCTTTGATCCTCCCTTTTCTTTCACTGTGGCTAGAAAAAAAAATACTTTTTGTTCTCCCTAGTTGATGTCACCAACTTCCACTTTTTCTGATTGTTAGCACTTCTTATACTGTTCCTACACTATGCTCATATCTTCATTTTCCTCTTACTTGTCCTTTTTTAGAGTTTCTATACTTTAAAAAAAATTATACATGATTGATGATTTATCAGTTGCATTTTGCAAATGATGAAATTGAAGCTCAAAGAGGTTAATTACTTGTTAAGGGTCATGAGAACTAATACCTTATCAGCCTTGGAATTGGAACCAATTTCCTTGAAGGCCAACATTTTTTCTTCCTCCTCACCAGGGGTGGGGAACTTGCCGCCTTGAGGCCGTGTGTGGCCCTCTAGGTCCTCAAGTGAGGCCCTTTGACTGAATCCAAACTTCACAGAACAAATCCCCTTAATAAAAGGATTTGTTGTGTAAAACTTGGACACAGTCAAAAGGCTGCACCCAAGGACCTAGAGGGCCACATGTGGCCTCAAGGCTGCAGGTTCTCCACATCTGTTCTACACTATACTGCCTCTAAAATTAATAAGGTTTTGCTGTATTCCTAAAGTTTCCAATGTTTCTTTCCTTGGGCAACACTATATTCAGTCTCTCTTCACCAACAACTACTTCTAGAAAGAATAAAATATGGAATAGAAAATCACTGGAAATGTCAGAAATACAGCTTATTCTCAATTAAGCTACTTTGGGGGTACATGTCTGAGGTGGTGGAGAGCCTTAGTCCTAATAATTCAAATTCATTTCTCCATCTTCCATTTTAGTATGAGTTAAAAGAAAGAAATGTATTAGCTCTTTGGGATAATTCTATCATATAATAATAAGTTCATAAATATTCTAATGGTATAAACGATATTTGTGTTTGTTATCGTTATTTTCATATTTTTATAATATATATTAAAAATAACCTCTAACCCATGGTTCCTGGAATACAGTAAATGCTATATAAATGTTAGCCATTATTATTTATTACTATTGTTATTATATTGAATTTTTAATAGTTAATTTCTGATGATGGCAGACCATCAATACTTAAGAGGAAAATGTTAAATATTTGTGTGGGTCATTGAAATTTCCTATCAAGTAGAAAAATGCATATACTTCTATGTGTTCCCAATTTGAGAAGTTGAAGAAAGAATGAAAGCACTAGAAAGAAAAAAGAAAGAGGGAGGGAGTTAATCTGAAATCTCAATAAGGCACCAGGAGTATATCTTCTGTTTTCCAAGTAAACAAATGACATTATATGTAAGGAAGAGAAACTGAAATAGAAAATTCTACACTCAAAATATATTCAAGAGGTGTTGCATACCCTTAGGGAAACTACCTATGAGCAATATATCTTATTCAATAAAAAGTCATTCTGCTCAGCATTATGAGTCTAGGAAAAGAGTAACATAATGATTTTAAAGCAAAACAAAATTGAGTTTTTTAAATATTCTTATACAATAAAATGTCAGTTTGATTAGAAGAGTAATTACTAAACAAGATGGATTAAAAGTAGTTTTGTTTAATTTTCATGTGGTATTTACTCTCAGCTTAATCACATTTTTCTTTAGCATTATTGATTATGTAATGGAATATAAGTTACTCTCTATGTATACAGAGCTAAAGATGAAACCGTCCTTTGGAACTGTAACACATGTAACATAGAATAATAGTTCCCAGGTAAGAACTGATGAGACTATTTACACACAGTCCATCATTTGTAAATATTACAATTGGAGATGACAGCAATACCATAACCTGAAGGGGATTCTATAACATCATTCAATTATGGTCCTATGCTTTGGCAAGATAAGAGAATGCAGGACCTAAAAGAACACATTTTGCAAATGGGTTGTGGAGTTCATTTGTAACATTTTATATGTTTTTACTGTCACGTCTCTGATGTTATAACAATGTTTGACATGAATTCCAATTCAGGGCTTGTGTTCTCCTGCTTAAAGTGACTGGTGTTGAGGAAAAACCTCAGTGAATTTTTGTGCATGGAAAAGCAAAGGGATGTGAGGGACTTGTCACTAGCTCTTGGCTTTTCTCCTCTTTTGTCTTCTCCTGGTGACAGATCTGAATAAAGCAGGAATCAAGAAACATCCAGCTCTGACAATTTGTTCCAATACACCTTGTTCGTGGCTTTGCCTGTGTGTAATTTATCTTTTTTTCTTGGTGACAATTGCAATAAAAGTGACGGAAAACACAAGGGCCAGCATGTTAGCAATATTGAACCTCAAAAGGGGAGAAAGTGGGTGAGGTTACCTCCTGGTTAGCAGCTGTTAGTTCTTCTTCCAGTGCAGAGACTCTTTCTAAAGAAACCCTCAGTCGCTCCCTTACCTAGAAGAAAAACCAAAACATGTGCAGTAATGTGCATTCCATAAGTCTTTAAAGGTGTACAATCCATCATTAACATGTCTGTAAAATGGGTTGGACTAGTTGGCCCCTAAGGTCCCTTCCAGCTCTAAATATATGATACTATGATATCTCAAGAGACATAATTTAGGTCTCTAAAACCCTAAATTATTGGAAAATAACACAATCGGATCCCTGTGCCTAAGCCAGTGTCTCAGGAGCAGGTTGTCCCGTGTAGCTCTTTTAGCTATTCAATTCCATGCACCTCCTTGAATGCAGTCCTAGATTGGTTTGCTCCTATTGAACTGTGATTTATTATAAAGAGCAGTTTAGCAAGATTCAAGTGTAATTTAAGCATGTTCATTTAAAATTAATTAAGGGTGAGTACTAGGAAAAAAATTTAAAACTTTTTATTTCTTTGGGATGTTTAGCTAATTTCTAGTAGATATTTAGGATGCATCTCAAAAAAAAACAATGTTGTTAATTCAGTGTTAAAGAATGAATGTGGGAAAATTGCTTATTAGTGACATTATTATTATTAGTAGTAGTAGTAGTAGTAATAATAGCATGGAAAAGTAGAATTGCAAAGTTGCTAAGAAAAGGAAAATTATTTGTCTATCTTCTTATCTGAGCACTCAGGGATGGATTTTTGGGTCCCCAGAAATAGCTGAAGCATGGTACAGTGACAAGAGCACTCAATTTGGAGTCAAAAGACTTGGGTTCCAATAATGATTCTGTCATTTACTACCTTTTGACACTGGAGAAATCTTATAACCTTAAATGATAGAATGGGATTAAGTTGCCTTGAAGGTCCCTTCTGGTTCCAAATGTTATACTATAGAACAGGTAAAGAGATCTGAGAATTACACCTAACACCTGGACATCTCCAAATAGAGCAGTATTCCAAATCCCCCAACAAAATGTGGTACTGGTGTCTTCTGGTCCTCATAGCACTTGATACTATTCCTATCCATAGATCATTTTCTAATTTGTATTGTATTTTTCTGTGTATGTGTCACAAAGATTCACTATCAGCTTTTGAGTTTCTTAGTGCCAAGAACTGAGTCCTGTTTACCTATGTGTTGTATCTATCCTAATGCTTAGGACAGCACGTGGCATATATCTGGTACTTAAGAGATGTTTATTGAATGACTGAATGACTGGATGATTCTTTATCTCCCAGTGGTGAATGAGTTGAGAAGTTCGAACTATGGAAGAGTAGATACTGTATAAGAAAATGGATATTTGAATAAAACCATTGTTTTTCCAAATATCAAGTAAATGAAGTTCAAAATAAGCTACATTTTCTTTTCTTAATAATAATTTTAATGGTTTCTGTAAATTTAATTCTGGCCCAATGCTATGGGTGTGCTGGCCAATGAAATATCCTGCAAACGTATATTAATGCAGAGATTTTGTTTGAATGGGGCCATGAAAATAAAGGGCATATAATTAACAGAGACAATCCATTCTAGATTGAAATGAATGGACAATTTAATTGAAAATTTGCTTTAAGTAAAATTTAACAATTTTAATGTAAGAGGAAACTTTATTTAATGTAAGTAAAATTTTAAGGTAGGAGATAATTGGCTATTGATTTTTGCTTTTCTTCATCAACTAATATCAGTTTTAAATAAATCTGTTGAGTTCAAGGAATTTTTAAAATGCCTCTTATGTCCAAGGTATTGTAACAGGAATAAAAACACTAAAAAAAGACAGTAATTGTCTTCAATGAGATTAACGGGGAGTTTAGCACACATACAGATAAGTAGATACATGCTATTTTAAGAAACAAGGATAGCATGAACAACTAGGGAAAGGAATGGTGGAGGCTTTGTGGAAAGGGAAGTACCAGAGAGGAGATTCACAGGCAGAGAAGGATTTTGAGAAACAGAAGTAAGAACAAGGCACATTGCAGAAAAAAAAAAAAAAAGTTCATAGATCTAGAGTTTAAAAGAGATTAAGAGGCCATCTAATTTAAACCCATCATTTACAGTTGAGGAAACTGAGGCCCAGGGAGATTAAGTGACTTGACCAAAGTCGTAGAGAAATTAGGTAACAGACTTAAGAACACAGGCCATCCATCAGCTTCAAGGGCCATTACACTTTCCACTGCACAACACTGTTTCATACTTCAGGCAATGTGAGTTTCTGTTTAACTTTTAAAATGTAATTTAAATTTTTAAACAATACCAACTTAATGAATTTGACAACAGTTACTTTTTATGTGAACAGAATCCCACCTTTCCTAAAATAAAAATATGCTTAGTCATAGAAATGAAAAATAAATGCTGATTTAGAAGAAAATAGCATTTTAAAATGTGTTATAGTCATTTCATTTAGTAAATATTGTAAATTTCCATTCACCCAGAATCCAATTCAGAAAAGTTATGTGACGCAGACCACAGCACTATAGAAGAATAATAGTTCTTCATTATGATAATCATGTTATTCTATAGGTCAGAGGGTGATAGATTTAGGGCTGGAAAGGGCCTTACAGGCCAGTTAGTTTAACTCTCCCATTTTATAGATGAAGTGACTGAGTCCAAAGGAGGCTAAGTAACTTGCCCAACAGTTACACCAATAGTAAGAGTCAAAACTGAGATTTGAATTCAGATAATCTGAGTCCAATCCAGCTCTCTGTTCTGAAATCATTAAGAAGCAGATAATACTCAGGATAATTTTACTCATACAGAGTATTGCTTGCTAGAAAATCAGTAACATTAAGGACAGATTGGCACTTGGTAATGTATCTTATGGCATACTTGTGGTTAGATGCAGAAACGTAGATTGTGTGCTTGTTAATTACAAATCACATCAATTAAATAACTGAGGGTGGTCTTTAGTGACAAGCTACAGGAAGGACTTGAAGACAACAAAGGCATGCTTATGAAATCAAACAGAAAGCCTGGAAGACTAGCTAATTATGTGCTCAGGACAGAATCAAGCTTGAAAATTTTTGACAGGTTGGAAACATGAATATAACTGAGACAATCAATTAGGAGCAATAAATGTACATTTCTTCATAGACTTAAAAATAAATTACTCAAATACAGGATATTTGGAGGCCTGGCTAAAGAGCAGACCATTTGTAAAGGACCATAGGCTTTGGGAGATTGCAAATTTAACATGAACTCATAAAATGTCTCATATAATCTAATGACTAACATAATCTAATTTTTAAGGTGCATTAGTGGAAATAGTGTTAAAATGGTGGGAGAATTATATTTTATTTGCCTTTAGCTCAAATGTATCTGAAATATAGTATTCATTTCACATTTTATGAAGAATGTAGTCAAAGTATCTTGCATCTGTTATTAACCAGTTTTGTGACCTCGAATAATAGTCTTTTAAAGCCCTGAAACCTAATTAGTAAATTAAGAGGCCTCACCTAGATGTTGTGAGGTTCCTTCCAGCTATTACATTCTCTGCTTCTCTAATTCTGTAATACGATAAAACTGCAGCATTACCACAGTAGGGCAAGTGGATGATGAATAGTCTTACAAACCATGTTGTGTGAGAATGGAGTGAAGGAACTAGAAATGTTTCAGCCCGGAGAAAAGGAGATTTAAGAGGGATATTGGGATAGGATACTTAAGTTCAAAAAAATTTAATGAACCTCTTATAAAAGAGGCAGTAGACTTTTTTTTTCCGGTGATGGACTAGAGAACAGAACAAGAATCAATGGGCAGAAATTATAGAGGAAGATTTTAAAGTCAATCTAAGAAAGATCTAGCAATTAGAACTGTCCCTTAATCAAATGACTTCTTGATGAGATACTAAGTTTTTTTTTTTGTCCTGGGAAGTATTTAAGAATTTCTTTTATGAACACCTGTCAAAACACATACATGTGCGTGCACACACACACACACACACAGACCACAAAATAAAACCATAAACAAACCCAAAGCAAAAACCAAAACAACTCCTCTCCCAAGTTCTGCCCTCTCCCCCCCCAAAAAAAAAATCTGACAGAGGATTTGGCTAGATGACTGGTAAGGCTCTAACCAAATCAATAAGTCTCATGACCTCCAATTACTGAAGGTGTTGAAAAAGGAAAGTCAAATACTGAACAAATGAGGAACAAAGAGTTCTAATGGCCAATGAGCCAGCGAACTACTGGGGCTGTCTTGAGAATGTCCTTTGCATGTAAAAGGCATATAAAAATGAGACAGTTTAATGTTTAAGACTGCCAGTATTCCTAGTGGAAACTAAATTCATTCAATTAATTTAGTGCAAATGTAATATCAAAACACTTAAGTTGAAATATTCACACTGTCTATATATTGTATAGACATCTTACCCAAGTTAAAAATGGAACACTTTGTAAGTATCTAAAAATAATGATAGATGCAGAGTTCCTCTCAAGAATTTTATAATTTCTAGTTTTATTCAAAACTTAGGAGATAAATGAACATATACGTATATGTAAATCTACTTATTTGAATATATTTATATATCAAATGACTGAGTTTTTGCATTGTTCTTTCTAAAATGACACCCTCATAAATTCTCCCAATTATTCTCTAATTGTTAGCAGCTAAGCACATTACATTCTCAGAGTAGAAAGTCTCTGAGGAAAACCTATCTTGCTACATGACGAGATAAAAATGGAATAATATCCCAATAAAACAAGAAGACCTATTAATTAATTGCTGCCACATTAAACATAAATGATGATAAAAGTTGTTCTTGAACAAGACAAAGAGGAAGGTTGTTTCCAGCCTTATGCTGAATCAACACTATGAATGCCTGAATCAATGCTACAAACTGAAACATTCAGTATGAGTACTTTATTCATATTCAAATAAATTATTCTTAATACATGTAGTTCTCACAGAAGCTCCTGGCTAATTCATGATGTTAATCAATATTATAAACTAAACTTGGATCTAATGTCTGTCCATTTCAGAGGCATAAAAATAAATGGTTCCTAAATATTGATGAGTATAACAGCAACACTAATAGTAATGAATAACAACAGC